CTGAGCTCTTTTCTGCTGGGAAGGCCCTCTTGCTCACTACCCTGCTCACTTTCTCAGTGAAGCCTCAGCCCCTGCCCCCCTCACCTACCCGTTGACAGCCAGATGGAGAGCTGTTGATTCCCCCAGGGAACGAAGCCTATTTGTGGAGGACCTATCTTTTCTTTTTGACAAGCGAGGGAAAAGGAGGAATGAACTCTGACGTCATGGGTTGCGTAGGACAGTGGGGTTGGAGGCCATCTGGAGCAGGTGCTGGCAGGGCCCCTGGGAAAGGGAAGGAGGGCAGCTGGCTCATCAGATGGGGGTGTCCTGGGGTCAAAGACTCATGGCACAATGAGGTTAAGCTTTCCTGGAATCTCTGGCCCGTGAAGGATGAATGACACTTCCTTGGCCTCCAGCTCCTCCGGTACTCCAGTCCAGCCCCATGGGCTCAGGAATACTGGAGGAAGGTACCAAGCTCAAGGAGACCTTGTCATGCCTGGGCCTCTGTGTCCTCTGAGGGGCAGCACCACTAAACAGTCCTGGGGAGTCTCAGGGGCTGCGGGGGTCCTCCTGCCAGAAGTACGAGTGTACATGCAGTGACATTCAGATCTCTCTTCCGCCCCAGCTGCCTCCTGCTGCGTTTTGTCCAGGGAGAGATTGGAAGCCTCTTATCAGGCCCTGGATTCACTCTGCCCTGTCTAGAAAGCAAGGATGATGTTTTTCTAATTACAGGTGGTGAAACTGAGGGCCCCACGCAATGACAGGACTTGGCCAGGGTCCCGCAGCAATTTCCCCGCCTGGCCTCAAGACCCGCTCACTGCCTGTTTAGTGTCCTCTCTGAGAAGTTATGCAGCTGGAAGGGGGCCCTGGGATGAAATAATTGCAGAGAAACAGATGGGCCGCTCTGCAACCCTCCCCTCCTGTATGCCTGAGAACCCGCCTCTGCAGCCCTGGGGCCAGGAGGGGGCGCTGCTTCGCGGGGCTCGTGTTCCTCCCTCCTGGGACCTAGGCTGGACAGTGCCGTCTTAGCTGCTCCTTCCCCAGCCCCCCAGAAGCCCTTCCACACACCTTTCTCCCACCAGGCATCCTGACCAGGGCCCACTCCCATCTTCCATCGCGTCCTGATTCCGGCAAGACATCGCCTGTCCCAAGGAAGGGCCCCTCTCCAGTAGGTGTGAGAGTCTCACCTTGCCCTTCTGGAAGGAAGGAAAGCGTGAAGAGGGGCCCACAGAATGGGGTCCCACCCTTCAGAGGGCAAGAAGGGAGTACACAGTCCCATCCATGCAACTCTCCAACGCTGAAGGCTCTGCATACCCCCAACCTACTGTGGCAGAGCCCATACCCTGGACTCACCCAGGCAACTCTGCCACTGAAGGCTCTGCACACTTCAGGCTGGCTCTGGCCTCCCACTTCCTGCTCCCTCCCGCTCCCACCACACCTAGCTGACCCCCTTCCCTTTGCCTCATCTTCAGGCACCCCCAATAAACTCATTTGCCCTTCCCACCTTCAAGAGCTCAGCAGGGTCCCCTCTCTCTATCACACACCCTGCCTCCAGAACACCACTGAATTCAGAATTGCCTCTCCCCAGCCTGCCTCCTCTGGGCACCCCTGCCTGAATCCCTCTGCCCTCCCTAGGTCTGGGCATGTGGGGTTCTGCAGTCTCACCAGCCTCCCCTGCCCTCTGCATTGCCCTTTAGTGAGGTCTCACATTTGGTTTTTCTTGAATAGCACCCCCTAGGCCTGGCTCTAGCACATTCCACTGTTAGCCTACTTTTCTTTTCTCTCTCTCTCTCTCTTTTTTTTTTTTTTTTTTTTGAAAAGAAGTCTTGTTCTGTCATCCAGCCTAAAGTGCAGTGGTGCAATCTCGGCTCACTGCAACCTCTGCCTCCCAGGTTCAAGTGATTCTCTTGCCTCAACCTCCCGGGTAGCTGGGACTGCAGGCGCCTGCCACCATGCCCAGCTAATTTTTGTATTTTTAGTAGAGACGAGATTTCACTGTGTTAGCCAGGATGGTCTCGATCTTGTGACCTCATAATCTGCCCATCTGGCCCTCCCAAAGTGCTGGGAAGCCTGGTTTTCTGTCAAGGGTTTCCTCTTCTCGTCTCTTCTCTTCCTGTGTTTCCAGGCTCAGCACAGACTTTTCCTTCTCCAGGAAGCCCACGCTGCTAGTCCAGGATGGAGGAGGAGGCTTCCTTGGGTGGCCTCAGCCTGAGCTGTCCTCTTTCCTGTCATTGTCCTTTTCAGCCTACAAAGCTCATGTCTGTGTCCTAGGGGCTCTTCCTGGCTGGGACGGAACCCTGCAGGCTTCAGGGATGCTCAATGGATACCGGGAGGGATCAGCGAGATCAGTGAAAATGACAAGATTTCTAACAGAATGACCGGGTCCTTGGGTCCTTTTCTCCCTCTTTTGCCATTAGGAGGGCATTTTAAATTGAGCAGTCAATAACATGACTTGAATAGCTCATATTCAGCTGCTGAGTCAGTTCAACTTTCCCAGCCCATGCCCCCGGGGGGCTTAGGGCAGAAGAAGCAGACTTCATGAGGGAAAAGCAGCAAGAAGGGGCTTGAGTCCCAAATGGAGGCCCAGGAGGAAGACAGGGCCTCCCCTGAAGCTCCCCAGGCAAGGAAAGCAAAGAGAGAGGGGAAACCTTTGTCTTCAAGGCAGATCTGTGCTAATGACACACCTCCAGGGTCCCTCCAGCCCAGGCCTCTGACTCTTACCCATCCCACCTCCCAGGCCCCAGCTAAGTAGAAGCTGCTCCACAGCCTGCCCTGGGGAAGCCTCCTTCTGCAGACGACCACCGCCCAGTGGCCAGGAGTGGCAGCTCACCAGATTTCCCTTCCAAAGAAGGGAACGGGAGTTCAGGGTATTGGCTCTGCCACTGTAGTTGGGGGTGTCAGTTTTATTAATTTAGCCTCAAAGCTGAAACAGAGAGGAGACCTAGATAGTCACTGGGCAATCACCTGGATGCAAATGTGTCTAGGAACACAGAAGACAGGAAAGACCAGTCTACGGACGTTCAGGCAGAAGGAAGTAGCCAAAACAGCAGAAGCTTCCAACCTGCCCTTAATAAGGGGCTTTAGAGGATGTACCACTGGCCCCTGGAAACCAGCCCAGAGCTTGACTCTAGAATCAATCTGTGTGGCTCTCCCTGGCCCTTTAAACAGGTCTGAAGAAAGAAAGTGTCAGAGAAGTTCCAAATGGTAACATCCTTCTTTGTATAGCAGGCAAAAAGCAGAGGGAACTTTCCAGCCCAACTGGATTCCCTCCCTATTCTGCCTTCTAGTTCCTCTTCCTTTCTCCTCAAATGAAAAAGTGGTGCCACTCTATGGGTGTTAATGCGGAGAGGAATTGGGGGGCTGCGTGGAGGTGGTGAGTCAACTCCAGAACCCACAAAATGTGCCCTGTTGATGTCTGGATCTTCCTGGAGACCAGGAAACTTTGCTGCCCCAAACTCAGACCTCAGGTGTAGGCTGTTTCCTGCACAAAGGGACCTGTGGAGTGGTTGGTCCAGTGTTGTGACTCAGGGTATAAGAGTGGGAAGGGGTAGCCAGAGAAAGGGGCCAACAGATCAGACGATGATGCTGCTGCCTCAGCAGCTCTGGGACCAGGCTCACTGCCATGGAGGGCAGAGGAGGCTTGGGGGAAACCTGGTTCTCGAAGCCCCTCTTCACTCCAGCTGCCTTCCTGCCTCAGGCACAGCCTCCTCTTCCTGGAAAAGCTCATCTGGGCTTGGAATGGTCTTCACACCTGGGGGCAGCCACTGCACTCCTGCCGCAACATTTGTTCTTATCTGTCCAGCCTGCGTCCTGCTCAGCAGCAGCCAGTCATAGATTCTTGCACCTCACTCAGTTTGGGGGATCTGGGCTGTCCGCCTCTGTGGCCCAAACCTCAGTACCCATGTGCCCACCACACTCCTCAGTGCTCAAGGGACTAAGAAGCCCAGCACAAGGCTTGCAAGTTCATGACTGGCAGGGATATGTGCCGTGTCCCGAGAGCCACGAGAACCTTTCTGCAGCTAAAAATGGGAATTTGACCACCTGTCATGGCCGGCAGAGGCCGGACTGGGCCCCTGGCTGGCTAGGAAGCTCCTCCCCAGCCTGGGAAGGCGCACAGGATACTGGAGCGGGTTTCCCCCAGCAGCGGATCTCCGCGTGGGTGCAGGCAGGGTCAGGCGCGCATTGTTCCCACAGACTGAATTCACCAGCGGAGTCAGACCCGGGGACGTTCTTGTGTAGGCGACATCGGCTGAGGGTGAACCTAGAGCCTTAACTGGCGAGCATAGGTTGCCGCCAAGCACACGCATGAGCATCGACGTCTTGGGCTGCCCGCGCTCGCAGTCCCCTGGTTCCCGCCTCGCGCTCAAACACCCAGGCTGGCTGCAAGCTTGAACTCTCCGATGTGGAAGACTTGCGCACCCCACTGCGGCCCAGGCGAACCCTGCTCTCCCTGCGCCTCCCACCCCAGTCCTCCAATCCCATCCTCTACCTCCCCAAACTAACGATGCCGCTGTGGTCTGCCCTCCCGCTCTGGCGAGCAGGTGACAGGCAGAGCTGCTATGCCATCCCGCGCCTCTCAGGCGACCAGCAGGGCTGCGTGGATTTCGGGCAGCGCCAACTTTCTGCCTGCATGACTTCGGGCAAGTGACTTAATTCCTCTGAGCCCATCTTTGCACCTGAAAAGAGGGCTACAGATCCTTTCCAGGTAGGGCGAGTGTGGTGAAGACCCAGCGGGTTCACATGGCACCAGGAGCACTGATGCTCGGCAGGCCAGAGCGCGAGTTCGCTGCAAATGGAGTTCCCCCGTGCGTGCCGCTTTGCAGCTCCAAGTGCAGCACGGAGCGAGCCCGCCGAGCCGCGGGATCCCTCCCGGGTGGGTTGAGGGAGGGGAGCCCCCGCGGCCCCCTCCTGGCCCTCGGCGCGGCCGCGTGCGTGGTGCCATTGGCCCGGGCTGCCCGGTGGGCGGGAGGATGACATCAGCGGCAGGTTGGATTATAAAGGCGCGAGCGGAGTCACGGGCCCAGAGCGCACCCAGCCGGCGCTGCGCAGCACTGGGACCCTGCTCGCCCTGCAGCCTCGCCAGCCTGCTCCGCACCCGCCTACCGGTCTGTCCGCCGACCCGCGCGCCCTCGCTGCCGCCTGTCTGCGCCCCTCAACCCCAGCGGCACCATGCACCTCTCCCAGCTGCTGGCCTGCGCCCTGCTGCTCACGCTGCTCTCACTCCGGCCCTCCGAAGCCAAGCCCGGGGCGCAGCCGAAGGTGGGTGCTGTCGTGGGGACGCCGAGCCCGGGAGGGGCGTGGGAGGCTGGGGGCTTGGAGAATGCGGCGCGCAGGACCCAGCAGAGAGGAAAGGAAAGCAGCCCTCTCCTCCGAGATGCTCGCGGGCGAGAGCCGGGGAGCCCTCGAAGCGCCTACTCGTGGGTCCATATCCCCAGACTCGGGAGAACGTCGGCCCATGTGCAGCCCCCTGTACCAGTGTGGCCTGCCCGTCGAGCAGCGAAGGAAGGGAGGGCAGGGCAGGGGCTTCCCGAGTGAGCGGCGGCGGCGGCCGCGTGGCAGGTGGATGCGGGGCCAAGCTGGCCGGAATCCGTGGGGGCGGCTCCAGGCTCGGGAGGGACACCCCGCGCCGGCGGGCGCGTTAGGCTGGAGAGTCAGAGTCCCCTGTACTGCAGCCACGCGCCCCTTCACCTACCCGCTCTTTCCTCGGACAGGTCCCGCGAACCCCGCCGGGAGAGGAGCTGGCGGAGCCCCAGGCTGCGGGCGGCTGTCAGAAGAAGGGCGACAAGGCTCCCGGGGGCGGGGGCGCCAACCTCAAGGGCGATCGGTCGCGACTGCTCCGTGACCTGCGCGCGGACACCAAGTCGCGGGCAGCGTGGGGACGTCATGTGCAGGAGCACCCCAACGCGCGCAAACACAAAGCATCCAACAAGAAGAACTTGTCCAAGGGCTGCTTCGGCCTCAAGCTGGACCGAATCGGCTCCATGAGCGGCCTGGGATGTTAGTGCGGCGCCCCCTGGCGGCGGTGAGTACTGCTGACCCCGCGCCCACCCCAGCCCGGCCTGGCCGCCCGCCGCCCAGCCGGCCTTCGGAGGGGAGAGCGCCAGCCGGCTTTGCTCAAGTTGTGCTAGCCGTTTGCCGGCCGCCCCCTTATTATCCTACTTTACAGACAAAGAAAGCGAAGGATAAAGTGATCGGGGAACTTTTGCAAGATCAGAAATGGCTCAGCCTGGTTGAACCCACCTGGCTTCTTCTGGAGAAGCAGAAACAAGCTTGGTGGGGTCTTACCCACCCCTGAACCGTAGCTGAACTAGCAGCATTGGCCCCGATTTGCCAGCTGGTGGGGGGACTGAGGGGAGATCATGGGTTTGTGGGAGCAGAGAAGGAAAGGTACACCCACAAGTCCAGGGGACATTCATCATCTGCCGGCCACCATGTGCCCTGTAGGGAGAATAGCCCTCTGTTGGCACTGTCAGGGCGCTCTTCTGCCTGGGGCACTCGGATTTCTGTCCCTTCTCTAAGCCCAGGCAGTGGGCAAACTGGTCTGTCCAGGGTCCTGAGGCAACTGCAGCCTGGTGGTTTCAGGGGTGAACCTCAGTGCCTGTGGCACTATTTCAGGGAATAAGAGACACTAAAGTAAATATTTTTTACCTTAACCTCAAACTCAACATGTCCCAGAGTCCCTCACCAGCCCTGTCCCCCGCTCAACCGGTGCCCCGGACTCTGTTTCTAGTGTGGGGTCTCACGTGGCGCTAGGGCTGGAAACCTCTGCCCTACCATCACACCCTGCCAGGTGCTGCAAGGTGGTAATTTCCAGCTGCAGAGGGCCTCACCTCTTCTCCTTCCCTCCACTCTCTTCCTGCCGCCTACCAGTGCCCACCAAATAACAACACCCAGCCTCTGACATCGACAATCATGTGCGTTAGGATCAGGCTCCCATGGCTTTCTGGCTTTCTTGCCTCCAGCTCAGCAGCTGCCACTGCCTGTCCCACACCTTGACTGTCCCACCCCAGGCCATGGGCAGGCTGCTGTGTCCACCCCAAAAACCCTCGTCAGCATCTGATCTTCACCCAGAAGGAAACCAGAGCGCCTCTCCAGCACACTGTAAAAAAATAGTTTTTACAGTATAGAACGCTGTTTTGCACAGTGTGTGAACCCATTCACCTCCCCATATTGAACAGCTTAAGGCACTCCAGGACCCACTGCACCCCCAACAGAATATTTGTCGATGAGCACTCCCACCTACCCTAGGTTTTAACCAGCGCGCTTCCTCTCTTTGCAGCCAGACCTCGCTTGGCTGTGGGCTTCTCCCCAGTTCTGCAGAGGCTTCAGTTGTCTGTGATCTTGACTGTCCCTTGCACAGGGAGAGAAATGATTCTGACACTTGGGGACCAGACTTCAGTAGCTACCCTTGGAATGCCTTTGCTCTCTTCTCTCCTGTCTAAACAACAAAGAGACAGTCTGAGGCCTCAAATTTTCAATTTGACTTAAGGGTAAAGTTCAAACTTTAGAATCTGAACAAATGTTAGTGAAATTTTCATGGGTTCATGCCTGGAATGCACATCCCCTAGGGCCTTGTTCTTGGCCTTGGCTGTCTGCAGTCACCAAGTGATGGCCAAAAGGGTGGAGAAAGATCCTGTGTAGGAGGAATCCACATTGCTAAGAATTCTCCACCCCTTTGATGGGGGGTGCATTTCATTAATCTCCTACAAGCTCTCTTAGCCTAGATGAACACTTACCCTTGACCCCAGCTTACCCCCAGCACCAGCTGTTTTATTATTATTTGGGAAAGAGGGTGTGGTTTTATTATTGGTTGTTTTTTTTTTTTTTAATGAAAAATAAAAACCTCAGCCTCACTGCCACCCATTCCCAGTGAGAGAGCAGAAATCCCTCCTGCAGGCTCCTGGCGGTGATGCCCAGGATATATCACTGGGCTTAAAGGAAAAGACAGCTTCGATTTTTCACATTAATGAAAACTCTATGAGGTTGTGGCCATTTCTCCACGCAGGGGTTGACGGGCTCTGAGCACCACCATAATGATGGTCGCTGATGGTTCTAGGTGCTGATTGTATAATGCTAATGACAGAGACAGGGGTGTCTGTAACCTGAATGAACATTTTGGCCCTGGGGCCCAGCTACATCACAGACAGCTGTCATCTGTGTAAACACCTGGCAGAGCCAGAGAAGGGAGTGGGGGAGAGTTCATCAAGCCATTCTGGCCCAGGTCCATTCAGGGCATGCTGTCCTTTGGGAGGGCACTGAACGTCCTAGAAGGCCACCTTCCTTGGGCCCCGGGGCACCCACATACCCATTAGCAGGGACTTCACCCTGACAGTGCTCAACCCAGAGCCCATGACTGTGCATTCCCCAGGGCTGGTGTGAGACACCATTTCCTCTGCCTCTCAAGGGGAGCTGGACCCCTTCCTCTGCGCAACCAGCTGGGGAAGGAGGTGCTGTCTGCTGGGTGGCGCCTGCAACCCAGACTCTGCCGATGCCCAATCCGAGGCTCCCTGTTGAATCCAAAAACCAGCCCTGGGAGGTGGCTATTATCCTGTTTTATGGGTGAACACTCCAAGCTATCCAGGGTCATCCAGGGAGTCAATGTCAGGGTAGAGATGTGAGCCCAGGCTTCCTGACTCCTGAGATGTCTCCCTTCTCCTTCCATCCACAGTCACCCAGACACACGAAGCCCAGGCAAGCACTGACTGAGGGTTTGTGTCATAGCAAAAAAGGGATAGGAGATTTTCCATTCTCTCTGCGCCTCCCTGAGGGCCAAGGGCAAGGCCTGTGGTTAGACTGAGGCGGAAGGAGGGCTGCGGACACTCTGTTTCCACCTGTGCTGGGACGGCAAAGCCGAAGGGGGCTGGGGAGTGCGCAGAGGGAGCCCCCTCCTCCACAGGAAGGCCTGGTCAGGACGGGGGTGGGGCAGGGGCATCCCTCAAGCTGCTGTGGGAAGGGGAGGAAAGGATCTAGAACCACCTTGCCCACTGAGATTTCTCAGCTAAGAGGTCAGAACTGAGCATACATGTCCACTCTGTGTTTCAGGACTGGAAACTGGCTCCGTTGTGCTGAGGTCATCTTTGGTCATCAGCCTTCAGCATCTGGAAACACCTCCAACGCAATGTGGCTTTGACATTTCTTTCTTTCTTTCTTTTTTTCCTGGTACTGGGGATACACAATACCAGCTGTTTTATTATTATTTGGGGAGGGGGTTGTGATTTTATTGTTTTTTTTTAAATGAAAAATAAAAAGTTATATATTATATATATATTATATACATGAAACACACACACCTACACCGACTCGATGACAAGGGACAGTTTTTAAGAGACTGACAGAACCAGCTGTAAAACATTGCTGTTTGTAAATTCATGTCATGCATAAATGTATTTATGTTGTAAAGCTATTTATATTGTTTATAAAGATATATTTATAAAAATTTTATTTATGTAACTAAATGAAAGAAGTCAATCATTGTAATGTTTTTGTCCTAACTAGTTGAAAAAATGTAAAAAAAAAGTCATTCCATGAATATCTTGAAAACTGTCTTCATTTACTTGTCTTTATTTTTTAGGACTTAGGCTGAGGCAGAGGGAGAATGTGAATGAAGAAAAGGCGTTTGCTTCCAAATAGATCTGACAGCCAGATTCCCAGTTCTGGATTTATCTGTGTCAGGATCCCCTGGAGGGCTTGCTAAAAATACAGACTCCTGCCCCCGCCACCCTCTGATCCACCGAATCTTATAGGACTGGCTGTACAAGTTTTGTCCCAAGTGATTGTGACCAGCTCAGCCAGGTCAGGAAGCTCTGCTCAAACACCAGACTACTACAAAGTCAGATGTTATGAATTAAATTAATAACGGCCGGGCGTGGTGGCTCACACCTGTAATCCTAGCACTTTGGGAGGCCAAGGTGGGTGGGTCACCTGAGGACAAGAGTTCAAGACCAACCTGGCCAATACGGTAAAACCCCATCTCTACTAAAAATACAAAAATTAGCTGGGCAAGGTGGCGGGCACCTGTAATCCCAGCTACTCCACAGGCTGAGGCAGAATTGCTTGAAGCCAGGAGAGGGAGGTTGCAGTGAGCTGAGATCACAGACTGCACCCTAACCTGGGCAACAGAGCAAGGCTCCATCTCAAAAAATAAAATTAATATTGAATTCAGCTGACTTAGGTTCCTGTAAATTCTGCTCCATCTTCTGCTATTAGTGGAGGAAGTAGCTGCTAACTCCCTCTCTGCTTTGGGGAGATTTAGAAGGCTTCTGCATATCTTGCAGAATCAGTCGGGTCACCTTACGAATCCCAGCAACTCTGTTTTCTAGACTAGCTCACAAAGCCTAGGATGGGTAGTTTCTGCCTCGTAATGACTGCCATGGTCAGCTGGGAGCTGAGACCTCAGAGAAAAGGAGAAGGCATTATCAAGTTTCATATCTGTATTGTGCTGTGCTTTGTGGGAGGGTTGTGGGTTTTCTTTTCACTTGAAGCCACTAACAATTACATTTCCTATGCCCCATGGGAGCTATGAGTGTGGAATAATGAATATAATTTAGAATTTATGAATATAATTTAGATGAGAATCTCTTTTCCTAAAACCAGCTGGAAACTTTGAAATAATTCCGAGGTGTTCTCACCACATGCTCAGATGACAGCCCTGTGCAGCCTTCCCTGTCGTCCGTCCCCTGTTAGGGGAAGGTAGGGACATGCCCTCTTGGGCCAATACCACCGGTGGATTGAGGGCACCCTGCTGAGGGGTTTTGGGAGCAGTGTGGCCCTGTGCTCATGGGTCTGCAGGCCTGGAGGAAGAGTTCTGGAGAAAAAACTGTCACTGGGGAGGTGGCCAGCGGCACCTGGTCTTTCTGGGGGGGTTTGAGCCCCGGGACCTTTGCTCCAGGTAGCCCTCCAGCAGCAACCTCTCAGGTGGCTGGGCAGCCAACACAGTGACATTGCCCAGGTGAGAAATCCTCTTGTAGACATTCTTGGCTGGGCACAGTGGCCGCACCTGTAATCCCAACAGTTTGGGAAGCCAAGGCGGACAGATCACTTGAGCCCAGGAGTTCAAGACCAGCTCAGGCAACTTAGCGAGACCCCCATCTTTACAGAAAATAAAAAATTAGCTGGGTATGGTGGTGCCCACCTGTAGTCTCAGCTACTCAGGGGGAGGCTGAGGTAGGAGGACTGCTTATGCCCCAGAGATCAAGGCTGCAGTGAGCTGTGATCACCCCACTACACTCCAACCTAGGCAACAGAGAGTGTCTCACACACACACACACACACACACACACACACACAAAGAAAATACATGTTCTAGCTTCTCCAACTTCCCTCACAAGTTCATTTCCTCTCAACTGCCACAGGTGCCCCAGCAGACACTTCCAGTCCCCCTTTGGGGGCCCCTGTGGAAGCCGCCCAGGGCATGGCTACCTTCCTCTGCCTCACTCCCACCTCCGTGGCTGGAAGATCAGGAGCTCACATCATAGATGCTGACAGATGCAGCACCCAAGCCTCGCCAGTGAGTGTCCCAGCTCCCTGTGCTGTCTGCAGACCCCTTACAGGGAGGGAGCATGGATGGCAGTGGGTGACACGGCCGGCTTTGCTGGTGCATCTTCCCAAGCAAAGGCGTGACTTCCCAAGGCCCAGAGGCAGAAGAGATGGTGAATCCTGGGATCTAGGGAATCATCACAAGAAGCTAAGGGTTTTCCCTGTGGAAAACCCAGTGCCCAGGCTGCCAGTATTCTGGGCTGATGCGGCCGCTTGGGCCCAAGCCACACACACTGTCCTCCTAAGTGCTCTTGTCCTGCGTATTTGCCTGCAAACAACACGCACAGCCCTCTGCTGCCAACTTTGGCCCTTGCCAGGCCAAGGCTAGCCCCTCCGCTGTTGCTTTAGGATGCAGCCATAGAGCCAGGCCTCCCCTTTTATACCCAGCCCCGAGGTCCTGCAACTGCCTCCTCAGCAGCGACTGAAATATGTTGTTGCAGCCAGGGGTTTCTGCAGGAAAGCCCAGAGGGTTGACGAATGTTTGATAAGTAACCCGAAGTGTTTTGACACCCCCAGAGATGGCCCAGGTGCTGGGACCTGAGAGCGTCCAGACTTGGTCCCCTGTCCTGTCCTCCTTCTTCTCAGGGAGACTCACAACTCCAAGCTGCCTGGAGCACCTGTGGCTTCACTCCCACCTGAGGTGACAACAGGCAGGGCCAGCTTGGAGAAACAGCGCCCAGACGGGGATCGCTGGAGTCCCGGTCCTTGTCTCAAATCGGGCACCTCTGCAGGGCAGGAAGACACCGTGATCGCCTCTCAGCCTTCCTGCTACCATCAATTGTAGAAGAGTCCCTGGGAAACGCCGCGGTGCTGGGCAGGCCAGAGTGCAGCAGAGGCAAAGAGAGTTTCAGCCCGAGGGCCTCGTTTCCTTTCCAGCAGCACAGCCATTGGGGAAGTCAGGGGCCCACAAGGAGGAGTCACCTGCCTGCCTCGTCCCTGGTGCCGTAGCTGTTGACATGTAGAAACCCTGGCCCTGTAGTGCTAGGCCCGGGAAGCCCACCTTGGGCCCCCACACACCCCTGGAGGACAGGCTTGGTCTGTCAAGCCCATCTGAGGATGTCACGTTGAGAGGCAGCACCGTGGGGCAGAGGTGGTGCACCCGCCATGCAGGTGGTGTGGCTCCAGTGAGGCTGGGCGGTTCCACCAGACCTACAGCAAGTGGTCTGGGAGCCTGCCTTCCCCGCCGAACAAGCAAAGGTCCTCCCCTGGCAGTCATAACCCCACAAGGGTGGTGGGAGACAGGGATCTGCACAGGTGGGGCGCCCTGAGGGTGATCAGAGAGGCCTCAATATCCAGACCCTGTTAGTGCCTTAGGAAGAGCTGTTAGTCCAGTCAGGAGAGTCGGGGGAAGGCTGGGCAGCCCACCCTTGGTTGTGGGGGTAAGTTGGGAGGAAGCATCAGTGGGGGGCCCATCAGAACTGGGATTTGAGGCTGGGCGTGGGGCTCATGCCTGTAATCACAGCGCTTTGGGAGGCCAAGATGGGTGGATCGCTTGAGGCCAGGAGTTCAAGACCGGCCTGGGCAATAGGGCAAAACCCCATCTCCACAACAACCAAAAAAATTAGTTGGACATCGTGGTGCCCACCTGTAGTCCCAGCTACTCGGGAGGCCTCAGGGTGGGAAGATCACCTAAGCCCAGATTGCACCACTGCACTCCAGCCTGAGTGACAGAGTAAAACCTTGTCTCAAAAAAAAGAGCGGGGGGGGAGCAGATTTGACTCCAATGGTTCACACGAAGAGCTTTAAGGAAGGGAAAGTTTCCAGAGTCGAGGGCAGCTGAGAGGAAGGTGTCCAGTGGGAAGCCAGTTTCTCCCCTGGGGCCTAAGGGAGCCATCCTCAGAGCTACGCTGGGTCGGGGTTGTGCCATGAGGCAGGAACTCCTGCAGGGATGTGGACCTTTCTCCCCTCCAGCCTCCTGCTGGCGTGTCTGATTATGGGGGGGAGGGGACCGCAGGGCAGGGCAGGGCTGTGAACCACCAGCACTGGAGGCCTGTGTTGAGGTGTCAGCCAGCACTCCCTCTCACAGGGATGAGGCCAGGCAGCAGGGGTAGGAGCTGACACCCCCTCTCTAAAGGTAATTTCTTGTCTTGGTGCCAGAAGACGGAGTGACCACATCAGAATTGTGGATGCAGTGTGACTAGCAGGTCTGATCCTGGGAGTGGCCCCTTATTTACGGCTATAGCGGACTTGCCTGGTGGGTCGCTGGTCCTCCCTCCCTGCCCCAGAGAGTGCCAGTTGACAGTGTTCCCTCCCTGGTGGCAGACTGAGGCTCTCTATCCGATCTTGGTCCAGGCCCTGGACAGATGTCATTTGTTGTTCAGTGAAGGGACAGGGGCAGAAATGTTTCCCAGCAATCTCTAGTCCATTCCCCTCTAGGGCAGACCAGCCGCAGGGCAGCCCACCCCACCCCCACCCCCACAGTCTCCTCTGTCCTGTTTGAGAATTTCAGTTTGCTTCTCACACCTCTGATTCAATCTTCTGCTACGTTTTCTATCTCTTTGTAAGTTTTCTGTATCCGATCCTTTTCCCCTTTTGTCTTACCTGGTTTCCTTTTGATCTCACTGTTACCTTTTCATTTTAGCTCCTGATTCAGAGGCCATGTCCTCCTGCATTCAACATCAAATGTAGCAGTTTGCTGAAACTTTCTTCTAGATCCTTTTGCAGACGTATTTGAGAGATCTGTTCTCTGTGTATCCTGAAGCCATGTGTGAGCATCCCATCTCGCCAGGTCACTTTTGCGATTTGCGATCTGTATTTAGTTGGAGAAAGATGTCGGGAGAACGGCGGAATATCAGATGGCAGGAAAAGAGCCTGCCCATCTCAGGGAGCACCACCCACGTGGGCAGAGGAATGGCTGGCAGCCCACCTGTCCTGGGGCTCTGAGTGGAGACCCCCAGAATGGAGAAGTGAATGCTGTTCACTCAGTCTTCACTGAGGCATTTGGTCCATGGGCCAAAAGCCACGGCGGGGTCAGCTGTTCCTCTCCAGTTCTACTAGCCTCAGTTT